GCTCAAAATGCTTTCTTGTAGGAGTAATAGGTTTTATATCGGTTTACCAACACGGAAATATTAAATGTTACTTAAATGTAGTTAGTAATATATCACGTTAGGTTAAATGTAGTGACCAGTTATGAATGAGCATGTGTGTCTCTCTCATGTGTCTCTCATCTCGGCTGGGTCATACTTTTAAGCCGGTGGTGGTGAAGGTGCGACCTGAAGGACACCGGCTCAAATGTGACCTAAGTTCGACCAAGTTACTTGTGTCTGAAAGAACAAAACTGACAAAAACAAAGGAGACTGGAGCGGCGTCTTCTAGCTTATTAGCCGTCATCAACCAGCTATGCCCAATCCAGGATTTTCCAACACCCGAGGCTCGCACCGGCGACCTGTTGAGTGAAAGTCCAACGCTTTAACCATCGAGTCACGGGCTTGTAAATGATGGTATATAGTTGCGAATTTTGGGTTCGAATCCTAGCTCAGACGGTAAGGTCTTCAAGGTATGAATGCTATATCCGCAGAATTACCTTGTCTTTTTCTCAGATGGTATATGTCTGGGCTATATAGAGTCAGGTCTAGTTTAAAGGACAGCTGTCACGTTGACGCTTGCTCACTTTCTCGGCGCAACTACAACGATGGAGATGGGGCATCATAAACTGCCTCTGTGCACTCTGTGTGGTTTCCTTGCAAACTACTACAGAATTGAGAGAAATATCTGGATTCGGTGTTACATGAAATGGCAATCACTGACTCCTCTAGATACCATTAAATACACTTTGTTTTATAACCTTCCTATTGCTCGGTATTTTATTATTATTATTATTGGCGATGCACCGAGTTGGAGGTTTTTTAAAGCCGAAACCGATATAGTTGCATCGAAGCCAGGAGTAGCGAAAAAGGCAGGGAATAGTACCGGGCGTCGTTTACTGTCCATATGGTTCTGAAACCCGTAGTCGTATTAGCCTTGAACAGGAGATCTGAACTGCTCCTGTGTTTTCAAAGTTCTAGTCAAATCGTAGGGTTTGTCGGGCAGCCCTTTCTGTCCTGAAATGAGAGAGGTGGAAGCAGATGCACAGTCCTACTTCACTTCGTTTCGTAACTGCGAATGGCCCTCCGACTGTCCCGTTGTCCGTACCACACGGCCTCATCCCCTCGTAGAGCTGAAACGGTATATGTGCGTGAGGACAGCCGAATTTATGCTCGATTTTATTCAGCCCAGCACGATTTATCGCGTCGAAGGCTTCTCTCAGATCCACAAAGGTGCCTTAGAGGTGGGTTTACATCTCCTAGGCGGGCGGGCGGCGCGGATCATGTGGTTTGTTCCGCGGTGTCCTCAGAAGACAGAATAACCCTTTTGCGAGCAGTTCCTGTTCTAGGCGGCCGTTAAGGAGAATGCGATGATGTTGAGCAGCGAGGTGCTTTTGCGGTTATCATCACAGAGTTGTCGGCTCCCATTCTGCTTGTAGATGTGAACAATGGCCGCTTCCGCTGATTCTTGAGGAAAGTGTCCTTGGCACCATCTACACTAACCAAATGGTTCATCATAAGACCCAGTAGTTTTGTATTTATTGTTATAACCTTGGCACAGGCCACGATGTTTGCCGTCCATTAACGGCTCCATCGAATCCCCAAGGGAGAACTCAATAGCAGAGTGAAGAATTACAGTGTATTGCCCTATGCTAACAACGTGCTTTATAGTGGGAAGCAAGCATGTACAAGATCGGCCTGCAATCGGGCCGATCAGACACTGTCTTCAAGAGGGTAACAGCTAGACTGGTCTTCTGACTCGTTCGACTGGCGGAGCAGGGTCCTAACCCCTGGCGGCAGCTTGCATGACATCATGTGC